CACCCAGGCTAGAGTGAAGTGACATGATCATGGCTCACTGCAGCCTCAACTTCCTGGGTTCAGTTGATCTCCCACCTCAACCTCCTGAGTAGCTAGGACTACAGGTATACTTTATGCCTGGCTAATTTGTTTTTTTAAGAGACAGGGTCTTGCCATGTTGCCAAGATTGGTCTCATACTCCTGGGCTCAAGCAGTCCTCCTGCCTCAGCTTCCCAAAGTGCTGGGATTACAGGCGAGAGTCACTGCTCCCAGCCTGCACTGTATTTCTATTGGACAGTGTTGCTCTAAACTTTAGACCTTGCTATAAAATTAATATTCCTGAAACATCACTTTCTTCCTGTCATTTCTATTTTTTATCAATTTTTTAAAACCATGTTAACCCTTCTAAAGGTTCTTAATAATTGGATCACATATTTTTCATTCTTTTCATTCCCCTCAGGCTGGTTTTCTGGATGCCCAAGAACACATCGTGTTCATTCTTACCATAATGGCTTTGTTCAGGTTGTACCTCCCACCTCGAGTTACTCTCACCTCCTTGTTCTCCTTACGTTACATTCAAGATGACCACTTCCATAAAGAATTTCATTTGTACCTCAACCTAGCGTTCTGCATTATTTTATTTTCTATTGATTTTTACATGTGTTAAATCTCAGCCTTGCCACTGGACAAGAATGTCTTTGATGGCAATGCTTATGTCTGTACATTTTGCAACCTCTGCCATACATGTACTGCAAGCATTTAGTTGCTTTCGGTATATTCATATCATTGAGTTGGGTCTTGAAAAATAAATAACAGGTGGATAAATACAGGTCATGAGAAAAATGAAAGACAGTGATTGTAAGAAAGGAGGACGAATACATGCAAGATTCCCATCCTATTTCCAGTCTTCTTGAGGAACAATTAAGGTAATTATAGAAAAGATTTTAGACCTGTAAAGAGTTTATTTTTGGACTTGCACACAGAATTGTTTTCCCAAAGATGATAAAGTGGTGTCTTCTCAAAAGATTTTTTAAATCTAGTGTCTTGTCGTATTTGTCTCTAATCAGCTCCTTACTATGGAAATTATTATTGATGCATTAAAAATAATTCTGGGTCAGTTGTGGTGGCTCACGCCTGTAATCCCAGCCCTTTGGGAGGCCAAGGCAGGAGGGTTGCCTGAGGCCAGGAGTTCAAGACCAGCCTAGGCAACGTATCGAGGCCCCCCCCATCCTAACCAAGAATGGAAAAATTAGCCAGGTGTGCTGGCATGTGCCTTGGGAGGCTGAGGTGGGAGGATTGCTTGAGCCCACGAATTCAAGGCTGCAGTGAGGTATGAACATACTACTGCACTCCAGCCAGGGCAACAGAGTGAATTCCTGTCTCTAAAATTAAAAAAAAAAAAGTATTCAAATTCTAGACAGAGTATAATGCACTACATTTAAAAATTGTCTTACCATATCTTAGTGTCTCAGTAGCAACACAGAGCTTTTCCTCAGAGCATATTTCTGTTTTAAATACCTCTTTCTCTTTGCTTCTGAATGTAATTTTCAGAAATGTAAAAGAAGTACCCTTTACAGAATGAAAATCTTAACTGATGAATCCAGACAAAAACTCCATTTGGCAGATGCACAAGATGTTCCAAATACTTCTACTAGCTAAAATGAAATGCAGTTTGCTTTCTTGTGATTTGAAGAGAAGCAGCAGTCTTTACTTTTCCAGCCAAATCCAGTAGCAGAATCATCTTCCACAAGGAATTAAAGTAATTAAAGTGCAAGTGCAATGATCATTTTCACATACTTCTTTTAGTAAATGTGACTCACTGTAACTCATCGTAACTGGAGGCCTAGGCCTTTTGAAGGCTTAATCAGGAAATGTGATGCAGAGATTGTGCTGCTATGCTTCATATTGTTGCCTTACAGGATTATACTTGAAATATATTGTACTAATGTTCTTGACAGGGCTGAGGGATTTGTCTTCCCCGAGCTCACCAAACTTATTCCAGTGTTGATTGCAAGTTGGTGATGCACAGGCGTCTTGTGGCAGTCCAGCTTCAGTTTACGTTAGACAATCAGTACACACGCTGGTGTGTTTTCCAGTGGCCAGTGATAAGAAATTAAATACGTGTCTGTGAGATTTGCTATTTTTTAATAAAGTAATCGTTTTAAGTTAGTCTCTGTTGTCTGTTTTGAAGAAATACATAGAGTCTTCAATCTGGGCAATACAAAGGTTCAATCCTTAAAAGTAAACTGTGTTTGTAAAATTTGAGGTTCTAAAACTTCTTGCAAATTCTGTGCCTTGTAGATATTTAAATACTGGTATGATGAAAGAATGCAAGCTTTAAAGTTACTTAGACCTTAACTTGAATCCCCATTCTGCCCCTTAGCTTTCTCTTAATGTACATTTACTCAGGTTGGGTGTTTTTTTTTTTTTTTTTTTTTTTTTTTTTTTTGACAATCTGGCAAATGAGGCCAATAACCAAGTTGGTAGTGGTTGTATGGGGAGTAAGTGAAAAAGTGCATGTAAGATGTTTAGCACAGGCTGGGCACGGTGGCTCATGCCTTTAATCCCAGCACTTTGGGAGGCTGAGGCAGGTGGATCAGGGATTCAAGACCAGCCTGGCCAACATGGTGAAACCCCATCTCCACTACAAACACACATACACACAAATTAGCTGGGTATGGTGGTAGGCGCCTGTAATCCCAGCTACTTGGGAGGCTGAGACATGTGTATCACTTGAACCCAGGAGGCGGAGGTTGCAGTGAGCCGAGATTGTGCCAGTGTACTCTAGCCTGGGTGAACAGAGGAAGACTCTATCTCCAAAAAAAAAAAAAAAAGAAGAAGAAGAAGATGCTTAGCACAATAGCTGATACCAGTAATGCTCAGTAAACATTCATTTTATCACCTTTTTAGAACACCTTTATTGAAACAGTAATTCATATGTCATAAAATGTACCCTTTTAAAGTGTACAATTCAGTGACTGTTAGTAGATTCATAGAGTTATATACCCATCACCATAATCTAATTCTAGAATATTTTCATCACCCTAAAAAGAAACCCATTAACAGTCACTCCTTGTCCCCTAAGCACCGCCCCCACCACCCCCCCAGCCTTTCACAGCCACTAATCTACTTTCCAGCTGTCTGGATCTTCTAGACATTTTATATAAATGGAATCAAACAATATGTGGCCTTTTGTGAGTGGCTTCGTTTACTTAGCATGGTGTTTTCAAGGTTTTAAGCTTCATGTTATTGCATGTACTTCATTTTCTTTTTTTTTTCTTTTTTTTTTTTTTTTGGCTGAATCATACTCCATGGTGTGGACAGAACACATTTTGTTACTTTATAGCTCAGTTACCTTTGCATTGCGGAAGATGTCCATGTTCTGTCTCCTTGTTTCCAGGCCACAGAAAGCAGCACCTGAGTGGGGGAGGGAGGAGAAGGACTTATTGAATAGTTCTTAATTTTGATTGTAATAATCGTTGGCTTTTTGAATTCCAAGCATTTTGATCAGTTTATTTAATTGGTCTTTTAAATACCCATTTTAAAAATTACATTACGGAGGAAACTTCATTTGGGTTGTGAGAATAGGGATTTAAGGGGAAAAAGTAGTACTCTAGAGTTTGACAGGGTGAAAGGACACTTTGTCGTGTGACACATTTTTTATAGATCGGTCCTGAGATAGAATAAAGCAAAAGCTGTTTCCTGTGCGTTATCACAGAGCAGTAGATTGACCTTATTTATTTGCTTGGTCCATTTTCCCTTTGTGTCACAGGGCCCCAGAGGAGACCAAGGTATCAAAATTTTAGCTTATCTAATTTGTATCCTTTCACACTACTTAAAGACATGTTCAAGGCAACAGGAAAAAAAAATACGGTTCCTGGGTAAACATAGGGGTGCAGTGGTGGGTGGGGCCGTGGGCCAGCAGGCTGGCTCCCTGTTGTTGGATCACTATGGAGATGACCCTGTCTCTGCCCCACTCCCTCCCTCAGCCATGAGGCAGAGGCAAGAGGATTGCTTAAGCCCTGGAGTTCTAGGCTATAGTGCACGATGATGATTTTACTGGCACACAGATGAATAAGATACTTTAAATAAAAATAGAGTGCACAATGACCAGGCCTGTGACTAGCCACTGCACTCCAGCCTGGGCAGCATAGCAAGAGCCTGTCTCTCATAAGAAATTTTACTAGAATAAAACTTAATGTTTATTACATAGACGTTGCATATTCATTGTAGAAAAAAACTGAATTACAGATGATTTTTAAAACTCTACCGGAGCAAGCCATTTCACCTATTTGTGTACATACTCCCAGATTTCTTAAACACGTTGTGAAAAATAGATTATACCATTCTGATGGTTTTTTCTAAGCTGCTTTTTGTACCTGATGTATAGTGAGCGTCTTTTCCTGGCCATAATATTACATACCAAAGAAAAAGTCAGGCTTCACAACAAATAACTAAAGACATTTTGACCAGAAACTAATGAAAGATTTTTTAGTTTTGTTTTTGCTCCTCCTGTATAATGCTGAAATTGGCAATTCTGCAATAACATTAACATTTTCTGAGGATCTGCTGAAGATGCACGTGACAAAGAGGCAGGAGCTCCACTTGCCCCATCACACAGCCTTAACATCGCTGGCTTCAAATGAGATCAAGCAAACGTTGGCTTCAGTGTCCAGGTCTCTTCTTGGGGTCCCACGGCCTTGCATCTGGCACCTCTGCTGGGTGCCTCACAGGGCTTCCGGGACGTGCAGAGACCCAAGGGACCCCTTTCTCCCACCGCAAGCTCTCTGGAGGCAGGGAAAGGCGCCGGGACCTGAGCCTAGCGGGCCTGGCACTGTGGCTGCGGAGAGAAGGGCGGTGGCCCGCAGGGGGCGGGCAGCCTCCGAGGGAGGTCCGTGTGGGCCGGGGCGCGGCAGCGGGCGGGGCTGCGGGCCTGCGGGGCGGGGTGCCGGCTCCGGGGCGGGGTGGCGGCTCCGGCTCCGAGTGTTGTTGGATCCCTATGGAGATAACCCTGTCCCTACCCCACCCCTCTCCCGAGCTGCGGGGCTGAGGGTGCGCTCGCTTTTCACTGCGCAGTTCCAAGAGGAGACAGCCGCCACTGTGCCGGGCCTTGTGACCACTTCCCAGAGGTAAAGCCTGTGATTTCTGGGCCGCGCAATTTTTTTTCTTGGGGGCGCCCGGGGCACCTCACCTGGGCCGGCTGTTTCCCAGTGCAGTCCAAGAAGACCTAAGCAGCGCTGAGGGGCGCTGGGCCCTCCCTTAGCAGCACTGGAATTAACCAAGATCCTCAAGAGGCTCTGGGGAGAAACAAAATCCACGCGTAAGGTCGGGGTTGCGCCGGGTTGTGGCAAGAAAACTCTTACCTCTCCAGAGAACTGATCTGGGATTGAAGTAAAAAGTTCTTGAGCACTTTGTAAACGCTAATTTTCATAGGTTCACACCAACACCCTTCTTACTTCTGGCAGTTCTCACCCTCTTTCCTCCTATAACCTCCAAAAATATAGGGAGGAGGGTGGGGAGTAGGTTGGGGGAATGAAGAAGAAATACAAAAAATCTACTGTGAATACAGGTCGTGGTCATAACTATAGCTCTAAGCGTTAATATGCTAAGATCTGATAAATGGGACAAATAAAACGGTGGTACTTTAAAATATTTATCGATTTGAAAGTACCGATGCTGCGCTTATTAATAGACTTGATGTATGTATCAGAAGAGATCCTGACATCATCGGTATTAAAGTTCACTGCAACCCATGTAATTGTATCCGAGCTCGTTATAGTCTGTTTTGCAGGAACTGACATTTGTGCTCCTGAGAAACCTCAAAAATCATGCTCTAAAAGCAATGATTGCAGTGGGAGAAAGAAGGGTTAAGGACTTGGGAGTTTTATAGCAACAATCGCTTCTTGTTTGTTACAGCTTTAATTTCATAGCCTTAAGCTTGTACATCAGTGAGCACATCCAGCATTTGAAAATACTAGCCCTGAGACCCTAAACAGTGCTGAGGGGCGCTGGGCCCTCCCTCCAGGACCCTGGAGTCCCTTAGCAGCTCTGGAATTAACCAAGACTCTCAAGAGGCTCTGGGGAGAAACAAAATCCACGCGGAGGGTAAGGTTTGCGCTGGGCGTGGCAAGAAAACTTACCTCTCCAGAGAACTGATTTGGGATCGAAGTAAAGTTCCTGAACACTTTGTAAACGCTGATTTTCATAGGTTCACACCAACGCCCTTCTTCTGTCAGTTCTCACCCTCTTTCCTCCTGTATGATCCAAAATGGTATTTTCTATCACCATCTGTACTGTCAATAGCCCAGGTTTCCTCAAAACACATTATTTTCATTATCCATTGCTTAGCATGTATTTAATAACAATTATATACTGTCATGTATTTTTACATGCCGTAAATGTGGGACATTTAACTCAACTGGAATTGTCTTTCATTTCCGTTTTTTTCACCAATCACACTCACTTTTCTTCTACTCCAGTTCTTTTCTGCAATCTTTAGAACCAGATAACTTTTTGGAGGCATATTTCAGGAAGTAAATTTTAGATAATCAAATAAAGGGATCATTGCACAATTTGCACCTGTGAATTGCCGAAACATTTGAATGTAGGTACAAATCTCTGCCAAGAAACCATGTTTTTTTTTTGTTTTTTTTTTTTGAGACGGAGTTTTGCTCTTGTTACCCAGGCTGGAGTGCAATGGCGCGATCTCGGCTCACCGCAACCTCCACCTCCTGGGTTCAGGCAATTCTCCTGCCTCAGCCTCCTGAGCAGCTGGTACCACAGGCACGCGCCACCATGCCCAGCTAATTTTTTGTATTTTTAGTAGAGACGGGGTTTCAGCATGTTGACCAGGATGGTCTCGATCTCTCGACCTCGTGATCCACCCGCCTCGGCCTCCCAAAGTGCTGGGATTACAGGCTTGAGCCACCGCACCTGGCCCCATGTTTTAATTTCTAATCCACTCTGTCTACTATAGTGGAGTAGGACCAGACTAACTTGCATTTCTCCAGCTGTATAACAGATCACCTGTGGAATCACAGTTAACTGACATTATGGCTCTTGTGTGTGATCCCAGTGAGGATTTAGCTCCCTGTATGGGCTGGTAGTTGTTCAGTTATTTCATCTTTTAATTTGGCTCAGGCTGTTCTGAGTGGAAAAAACAAAAACAACTTTTATTCTCTATACTCTCACACACACAGTACAACCCTTCACCTCTTGTCACCAAAGTGTGTAGGAATTTCTTCCCACTGACAACCAATTCTCCAGTGGCCATCAACTTGATGTCCTGTAATTTAACCCAGTTCTGACACTGTGTAACTGGAGTTAGTGTCAGATCCCACAGGGTAAGGGCTCAGTCCCAAAAGACCGCCCCCCCACTTCAAATGCCAATCACAAGTTGTAACTATGTATTGTTTATAATTAACCAACCAGTTACAAATCTGGATTCCCACAAGCCCCTCCTCCAGTCTGATTAATTTGCTAGAGCGACTCACGGAATTCAAGGAAACACTTTACTTATCCATTTATTATAAAGGATATTACAAAGGATACAGAAGAATAACCAGATGGAAGAGGCACACAGAGAAAGACATGTGGGCAAGGGTACAGAGTTTCCATGTTCAGCCATCCCAAAGATTTCTGAATCTTGTCCATTGGGATTTTAATGGAGGATTCATTACATAGGCACAATTGACTACATCTTTGGCCATTGGTGATCACTTAGCTTGAGCCCTTTTCTCCTCCCTAGAGGTCAGGGGATGGAGCAGAAATTTCCAGCTCTATAATCATATGGTTGTTTTCCCTGGTAACCAGCCCCCATCCTGAAGCTGCCTAGTGGTCCATCAAGATTCACTTCATCTGAACAAAAGACGCTCCTATCACCCAGGGAATTTCAAGGGATTTCACAGCTCTGTGTCAGAACTAGGGTCAAAGACCCAATACTAGAACAAAAGATTCACCCAGCATCCCTATCTACAAGAGTTTAGGAGCCTTATGTCAGGAACCAGGGGAAAAGGCCAGAGACAAATAATATCTATTTCTTATTATTCTACCGTATCACAGGTTGTGACAGAGCAGGCCCATCCTTCTTTTGACTAAGCATAGAAGTGCCAATGTCAATTGCTGAATTCCTCATCGATATGCCAAATGGATAATCAGCCACGACATAGAAATGTATTTCCAAATACATCCATAGCAGTTGTTAAAGCACACTAAATATGGCCTGAGACGGACTCTGTACTTCTATATTTGAATCCTTGTGGATGAACTGCAACCTAACTTAATAGGTAGACAAGATTGAAAACCTAACTTAGGTGTATGTGCCTGTAACAATCGCTGAGTGTTGGCCAATCCCAGGAGCCATTCTTCAACCACTTACACACTGTTGAGTGTTCAAACTGTGTTCAAATAAGGCAAATGCTGAGCCGTAACCAATCTGGCTGTTCCTGTACCTCATTTCTGATTTCTGAACATTGCTTTACTTTTTTGTCTATAAATTTCTTCTGACCATGAGGTACCCCTGGAGTCTCTCTGAATCTGCTGTGATTCTGGGGGGCTGCCCGATTCACAAATCGTTCATTGCTCAATTAAATTCCTTTAAATTTAATTCAGTTGACATTCTCCTTTTAACACAGTTTTATATCCAATTCAAGTTAAACTCACACTTCAGGAAAAATCTAGTATAATTTTAAAACTTAATAGCCAATTACTACCTGTATAGCCTTGGATGATTTTCCGATTTTTTTTCCTTTTTCTTTTTTCTTTCTTTTGTTTTTTTTTTTCTTTTTTTTTGAGACGGAGTTTCATTCTTGTTACCCAGGCTGGAGTGCAATGGCGCGATCTCGGCTCACCGCAACCTCCGCCTCCTGGGCTCAGGCAATTCTCCTGCCTCAGCCTCCTAAGTAGCTGGGATTACAGGCACGCGCCACCACGCCCAGCTAGTTTTTTGTATTTTTTTTTTAGTAGAGACGGGGTTTCACCATGTTGACCAGGATGGTCTCGATCTCTCGACCTCGTGATCCACCCGCCTCGGCCTCCCAAAGTGCTGGGATTACAGGCTTGAGCCACCGCACCCGGCCTTTTTTTTTTTTTTTTTTTTTTTTTTTTGAGTCAGGGTCTCACTGTGTTGCTTAGGCTGGAGTGCAGTGGCACAATCTCGGCTCAGTGCAACCGCCCCATCCTGGGTACAAGCAATTCTTTTGCCTCAGCCTCCCGAGTAGCTGGGACCACAGGCATGTGCCACCACGCCCGGCTAATTTTTTTGTATTTGTAGTCGAGACGGGATTTCACCATGTTGGCCAGGATGGTCTTGATCTCTTGACCTCATGATCCGCCCACCTCGGCCTCCCAAAGTGCTGGGATTACAGGCGTGAGCCACCGCGCCTGGCCAAGATCATTCTTAAATGATCAAGGAAGGTCTTCATGGCACAGAATTCTGGCTTTTGTAGAAAACACACACAGAGCCAGATGCAGTGGCTCATGCCTGTAATCCCAGCACTTTGGTAGGCCAAGGCAGGTGGATCACCTGAGGCCGGGAGTTCGAGACCAGCCTGACCAACGTGGAGAAATCTCATCTCCACTAAAAATACAAAATTAGACAGGAGTGGTGGTGCATGCCTGTGATCCCAGCTACTCAGGGGGCTGAGGCAGGAGAATTGCTTGAACCTGGGAGGCAGAGGTTACGGTGAGCTAAGATTATGCCATTGCACTCCAGCCTGGGCAAGAAGAGTGAAACTCTGTCTCAAAAAAAAAGAAGAAAAGACACACAGAAAAGATGAAAAATAGTTCATAGTTTGGTTTTATACTCTAAAGTTTTGAGCCTCTCTTGGTATTAGAAGATACTGGTGACTGCTGTATTGTAATCATAATGCACAATAACTATTCTTACCCCAGAATGAATTCTCATCTCAAATGAGTGCCTTAAAATGCTTCCATTTATTCTAATGTACTGATGTCATAAAGAATAATCTGTCAAATCTACATTTAATTCAATTCTAAGCTTATTTTACCATATGACTCACTTCACATAATAATGGAAATTGCTAGGAAGATGATCACAGAGTTGATAAATTGTCACAGTTGTGACACAGTTGTCAAACCCTAACAGTGAAGGAATTTGTTTTTTTCTTAC